CGTGGAGATGGAACCATGAGGTCCGTTCGTGCGCAGGTGGCGGGGCGGCTTTGGGGGAGGGCCCTTCATCCAGCGGTGGATTGAGCAAATGCCGACGATGAGGATGATAGAGCAATTCCACCTGGACGATGAAGCTGACAGGAAGGATGTTTTTATTCGACTTATTTCAGCACCTGCCTATGGCTACATCACACAGAATGTGCCCATCTCATCAGAATCCTGAAGCTAAGCAGGCCCGGGCCTGTATGGTGCTTAGACGAGTGACGTGCACCAGTCGGTAATAAGGGCGGCTGCGGGATTGTGCTGTGCAGCAAAATCTATTGTTGCACTGCACTTTCTATGCTCCCACATCTACGTTCGAATATGGAGCGATTATCACGAATATAATGAGCCTAAGAATTCTAGATTTGAAGCTTTCGTGACTGCAAGGATTCATACTCTTTGGTTTTATTCGGTAAAGTCACGTAGATAAAATAAAACCAAAATAAAACAATTAAATCACGACGTTTCGGAGGCAACACAAGCTTCCGTCTTCAGGTGGAAAAGCCAACGCAGCTCCTTGACACAGATATTCTGCGTTGACTTTTCCACCTGAAGACGGAAGCTTGTGTTGCCTCCGAAACGTCGTGATTTAATTGTTTTATTTTGGTTTTATTTTATCTACGTGACTATACCGAAGAAAACCAAAGAGTATGGAGCCCAAGAATGTCTGCGTGCAACGAGCGTGACGTCACTTCACTCCGCATGAAGAATGTGGAGCGGAAACGAAAATTCGTTCACACAAATTATCTTTCATTTGTACCAATCTTTATGGAAAGTACAGCTAATAAAGAAATCATTAATATATAAAGAGCCAGAGCCTTCATGTCACGCTCCCTCCGTAGCGCTGTCTTTAATAATCGTGAGCGGTTGACATAACTCCTGCTCACCGAGAACTTAACCCTCGTTAAAAAGCCAGAATCCTCTCGCCGCGCGAACCCTGTAATCCTATTGAGACGTAGAAGGAAAAAGGGCGTCATGATGAACATGGGATATAACCGTGAAATAAAACAAAGTCTGTGTTACCGGCCATAACAAATGCACTGAATATGAGTTTACTGCCTGCTTTTCTCTTCACTGTCAGATTTACTGCAATACACCCGTCCTTGGACGAGCTATAGGCTTAGTATATATTATATACTAGGGTTGATCAAAAAGTACTACTTTTATTTAGACACAACTATAAAGGACGATATACCCCATCAAATGTATCTTCTTCAAAGGCGTCTCCCCATGATCGAACACAAGAGTGATCCCAGCGGCCCTGCCACGTGTCGAGGCGTCTCTGGTATTTCTTCTCTCCTGGGGACGGATTTCAGGTTCCCCTGTTGGGTTCCTGGATGATGGTTGGAGCGACATCCTGAAACCTCTTTCCTTTTAGGGTGCGCGTTTCATTCTGGGCAAACGGGAAGAACAAAACTAAAAGTCACGAATATAGAAATGAAATAAAACATTCAAATAGATCACGACATTTCTACATACGTGACTTTACCGAAAGAACCAATGAGTATAGTAATTTCTGCAGTCACGAAAGCTTCAATCCTAGATTAAAATAAAAAGTCATTTGGTGGCAAATCTGGTGAATATGCGTGGGTTGAGGAACGGTGTGATGACACTTTGTGGGTTCATGGCGATGGTGGAGTGCAACAGATGTGAAGCTCGTAACACACCGTGGTTATACATTTTTACGTCTACGTGTGCTCGACACAACTTGGTGACTTTGTCCACAACTGGGTAAATCCAATCAGCTTTGAAAATGTGTAATAAAGACGACTCTGAAAGGGATGATGTGTTCTAGCGTTGTTAATGTGAAATATGTTTAAAGTTAAATTTTGATTTAAAGCTTTCGTGACTGCAGTAATTCATATTCCTAGCTCTTTTGGTTGTTTATATATATTTTATTATTTTATTGTTTCCCTTCAACGTGACTTTACCGAAAGAGCTAAGAATATGTTTAAAGTTGTTGCCGGCTTTGCGTCTATTGAGGTTACGTTGCGGGAGTTTTAAAAAATATATATTTTTTTTATGAACTTCCGAATAATATATCGTTGAGACTCACAGCAATTTACGTCCCGTTGAAATGGGAACACCGTAATGTCTGTGCCGTTTGGAAACTTATTCAGGGAATGCTGCGTCATTTCAATTTAATGCGCATCGCATTGCTCTCAAACGCCCCGCAGACTCGCACCGTGGCTGTTTATTCGCTAATAATCACGGTGTTTTTTTTACGTCTGCTACTCACTTCTCGTGTAGATTAAAACCATTGCGTCGTGTTACTCGCACGTTGCTTAACGTTGATCGTCGTTCAGTCACATTTATTCATACGCAGCGCTGTGCTTATTATCGTGTTATTATCGTTAACAGCTTGAAAGTCTCGACGGAGACAACTCCGTCGATTACGCCCCTAGGAAGTGCACTTTGTTGAACAGCGAAGCGCGTAACAACGAGTTCGAAAAGGACCACGTGATACGAATTCAGTGAATTTGATCATCACGACGATATTCGTCGACGACAGCGTGATGTGCCCATCAGGAGAGCCATACTTTCACCACCGCAACGCTCTCTCATGTGACCTTGAAAACTTAACCACGTGACTTGGGAGAGATGCCGATTGCCCCGCTCCCAATGTCACTTGTTGCGGGCACGTCTAGGCGTCGCGTCCACCAGTGCGATTTGCGTTAATGTCTGCCGGCTGCTCCTGCCGAGAGCGACTTAAATAAACCCGCACTGAACCCACAACATCCCCCCTTCCCCCACTCGTGGGGTAAACTAAACCGTGTGTGTGTGTGCTTAAGCCGGGTTGAAACGCACAGGTTGGGCTGCCTCAGATCCACCCTGGGTTTAACCAGTCAGGATTGCTTGGGGTCACCCCAGACGCTGTAAAGATCTGGACACGGTCTCATCGCTCGCTCCTTGGCCGGCAGGCTTAGGCTGCATTGGCTGGGTCACGAAGCCCGCGTGCCCAGACACTGTCGTTTCCCCAAAAAAGCTTCTGTTTGGCTATATTGAAGGGGGTTACGTTGTGTGTGTGTGTGACATGGGCTACAGAGGTGATGGGCTGATGTGGTCTGGAAAGATTTGGAGCTGACAGGACTTGCTGATGACCAGCACCAGCAGAGTCAAGATTGACCTCTGCTGGCCGTTGAAAGGTGGTTGCCCTCCAACACAAACGAAGGGGGGGTCAGGGGGGGGAGAGCGACGCTCACAACAACGAGCCGAGCGTCGGGCGAGTTGTCAGAGTGGGAAGCACAACTGATGCATCTGCCTGTCATTTCAGTCAGTCAACCCATAGTACCTGAGTCTTTCCCGTGATCTCCTGCCATCGAGCCTTCGACATTTCACGTGGCCTCAACGTCTGGCAACAAACCCCGTGGTAACATCACGGCCACTTAAGTGGCGAACGGCGGATGGCAACGTTTGCTGCGTGTGTACGTATACGGTAAGAGGTTCGCGTCAGCGGTTAGCGCACTGCGCTGCAAGCCAAATTCCCGGCCGTGGCTAAAACCGTTTAACTTGGACAGCCGAGGGGTGCCGCTTTGATGGTCCGCGTTGACCTCTGTGTACGGCCTCACGCCAAGTCTCAGTGACGGTCGGAGCAGAGTCACCGGCGATTTGATGGATCCAGGGAGGGCCGACGGCGACCACGTGGCCAGAGGGGGGCGTCCACCTGCTCCGAGTTCATCGTCCAGTCCTGTGCCTTCCCTACGCCTGCTCAGCCTCTAAACGAGGACCTAAGGCGACGCGTACACATGCACCACTGGGAACTGAAGACGCACGTGTGTGTGTGTGTGATGCCAATCACACCACCCGCTACGTTCGCCGTGCTGGCCTTGAGGGGTGCTCGCTAACAGGGCTTTTGTATGCACGTACGTTGAACTTCTTTCGCACCGTAAGTAGCCAACTGCGCTAATCGGAGGTGCCGGGGGTAGGACAGAAAACTAAACACAAAAGGCAGTTTTAAAGAATGAGTCTTTAATCTAGATGATTTAAAAGTGCATAGCTGCAGTGGCTTCCTAATATCGGAGGGAAGAGCATTCCAGACGGCCGCAAAAGCGCACGTGAAAGCGCGCGACGCGGTGACCACCGCCCTTGTTCGATGGGTAGCCAAAAGCCGTTGAGAGGATGAGCGGAGTTCGCGTTATGATGGTTTATGGTCCTTGGGATAAGCAAGGTATTGTGGTTCATTTGTGGCGAGCGCTTTGTGTTTAATGTGTATGCCAACACTGCACGTAGGCTCCACGGGACGCGTTTGTGTTTTGAACATCGGTTTACACACCTTACCCGGTAAGGTGTGTTGTGGGAAGGAAGCCCCCCCTCCGGGAACCCCCCACCCCATCAGCATTGGGAAGACACAAGTGGCCGGCCACACCACCCCGTTCGCGTGCCACGCTGCCGTTAACACGTTAACACGTGCCCTCGCCAACGGCACTTGCGCCAAAAGTCTACGTAGGCTACACGGGGGGGGAGACGTCTTTCCCTTTCATAATACACATCTTTTTTTTGGGGGGGGGGGTACATCGCGTAAATATATAAATGTGTCGTTAATCCCACCACCGCCCGACACAGCCAACTAGTAAGGTTTGTCACGTAAACAGAACGTGGCAAATTCGTTACTAGTTCAGCACACCGGTGTGTTGGAGACCAAAGCCACAACATTTCCAATGCACTCCAACACACAGCCGGCGTTGCTGTCCTCCTAACGAATTGGCACGTTCTGTTTACGTGACAAACCTTACTAATTGGCTGTGTCGGGTGGTAGCGGGTTTAACGACACATTTACATACACTTACGCGATCTAACCCAAAATAAAAAAAAACTTGTATCATTGATGATATTGGTCGCGGAAGCCTACGTGTTAAACCGATCTTTCTCTTTTCGTACACTTATGTAAACGATGGTGCCCTTGCTGCATGTACTCCCCACCCCCCGCCCCCTGCCACCCCATCCCCCTGCGTGTGCAGGTACATGGGCGATGAGGGCAAGGCCGGCATGAGAGCCCTGCCCATGGAGGGAGAGCCCTGCTCCCGGGCAGCACTGGCGGTGTCAAACTGCAAGCCATCCGGGGGCACACGCGTGTTCACCAGCAACACGCACAGCGCACACGTGGTACAGGTACAAACCGCACCGCGCTGGTACCATGAGCAGGACGGGCTTCATCGAATGGGGACCCCCCACCATTGCATGTCTATGGGTCTCTCCGTGAGTCTTATGCGTATCTGTGTGAGTCTAAAGGCCTCTGAGTCTTTGAGTCTCCGTGTGAGTCTATGGGTCTCCGAGTCTATGAGTCCCTGTCTGAGTCTATAGGTCTCTGTGTGATTCTATGGGTCTCTATGTGAGTCTATCAGTCTCTTTGTGAGTCTGTGGGTCTCTGATTCCATGATTATCTGTGCTAGTCTATAGGTATTTCCGTGAGTCTATGGGTCTCCGAGTCTATGGGTTTCTGTGTTAGTGTATGGGTATTTGTGTGAGTCTATGGGTCTCTGAGTCTATGAGTATCTGTGTGAGTCTATGGGTCTCCGAGTCTATGGGTTTCTGTGTTAGTCTATGGGTCTCTGTGTGAGCCTGTGGGTTTCTGAGTTTATGAGTCTCTGTGTGAGTTTATGGGTCTCTATGTGAGTCTATGGGTCTCTGAGTCTATGAGTTTGTATGTTAGTCTATGGGTCTCTGTGTGAGCCTGTGGGTCTCTGAGTCTATGAGTCTCTGTGTGAGTCTATGGGTCTCTATGTGAGTCTATGGGTTTCTGAGTCTATGGGTTTCTATGTTAGTCTGTGGGTCTCTGTGTGAGCCTGTGGGTCTCTGAGTCTCTGTATGAGTCTATGGGTTTCTATGTGAGTCTATGGGTCTCTGTGCGAGTCTATGGGTCTCTGTGCAAGTCTATGGGTCTCTATGTCAGTCTATGGGTCTCTACGTGAGTCTTTGTGTCCATCAGGATGGGCTTGCTTAGTTTCTGCAGTCCCACACCCAGAGTCTGGAACTCGCTTACACAAGCCATCCACGCCTGTTGACTCCCTATCCCTATTCACGCCCGCCATTGAATAGTAAATAATCATAATAATCTAAGGCAACTCTCTCCTCTATGGCCTCCCTACATCCCTCTGTGCTCCAGTTTATACAAAATGCCGCTGCCAGACTACTCAACCGCAGTCGCGAATGCGAGCACGTCACCCCAATACTCCGATCCGGTGACTGGCTCGCAATGTAATCTTGGATCTGCATCAAGATTGTCATCATCATCACGATCCATGGGAAAGTTATTCCGTAGGTGTCGACTGCACGTTTTGTAGTTTATTTCTACTTCCCCCTATCTTGTTGCCAATTAGTGGCGACATCTTTCGGGCACCAATCTCTTGTGATGTCGTCGTCAAGTCATTCTCTGCGAGGTCTTCCTCTCTTTCTGCTTCCTTCGATGTTTCTGAACAACAACGCTTTTAATATTCATATTCTTGGTTCTTTCGGTAAAGTCACGTAGAAGGGAAACAATAAAATAATAAAAATAGAAAACAATAAAATTCTCACGACGTTTCGACTGCAACACAAGAAATCATCCAAAAAAACGCCACTTTTTTCAAATTTTCTTGCCGTGGTTTTCACACCTGATGACGATTGCTTGTGTTGCAGTCGAAACGTCGTGATAATTTTTATTGCTTAATATTTTTATTATTTTATTGTTTCCCTTCTACGTGGTGACTTTACCGAAAGAACCAAGAATATGAATCCCTGCAGTCACGAAAGCTTTAAATCAAAATTGAACACTTTGAATGTTCCTGATGTTGTCCATCTCACACATGTGTCCGATCAAGATCGCTCCACCTTCAAAATCCTGCGTGGACCTTTGCCTGCCTACCTCTTCCCTCTCGCCTAACTCTACCCCCTCCCCCCACTTACGCACTGTCTGGTTCCAGCAGCCCGAGGTGTTCTGTCAACGTTCCCAGCGGGGAGTTTGTTCGTTCTCCTCCGGGTTTCCTTTTCTCCAGCCATCCGTTCTGTCGACTGCCTCGCCCCTGTCCCAAGTGCCTGGCTCCACACCTCGCTTGGCGGTGGTTATGACATTAAAAAAAAACACTACAACCAATTACGACTGCTGATTGTACCCACCTAGCTCTGGCTCAAACGACGATCTCCCCCCACCCCACCCACCCATTACTGCTCGCGCTGTCAACACAACTTGATGGCATCTTGGATGGAGGCTCTTAGGGGGGGGGGGGGAGCTGGCGAGCTTTGAAGTAGTCAACAGTGGCGCAGGCCCCGTGCCAAGACGGCTTTTGTAAAAATAAAAATTCGGAACCGCTGCCGCGCAGATATTATTTTCCGTGCGCTGGCCGCCAAAAACGTCGCACCTGCGCGCGTTATGGCGTATCTATCATAACAATAATCGTAACGACGATCATGAAACAAACGGTGGATTCTCAGCTACGAGGACTTTTGTCGCGATCTGTGTTCGGGATCTGGCGCTTGTGTGTGTCTCTGCGTGAAGCCACACACACACACAATAGGGCAGAGCCGGGGGCCAAGAAACATCTTACGGTGGTGGTTAGTTCACACAAAAATGAAAAAATGTTTTTTCCGTGGTAAATATCAATACCAATAAATATCAATAACCATACCAATTTTCTCGCATCCACCACTGCAAAGAGGGGAGGCGGTACCACAACGGTTGGCCGGCTGCGCTGTGAACCCGGTGACCCGAGTTCGTATCCTGCCAACGGCTAACGTCAGTGGCAATAATACCTCGGGATCCCTTAGGTTGACTGGGCGGGCGGGTACCGCCAAGAGACGGGGTTCAAATCTGAGTCTCGGCCCTTCCGTGATTGAATTGGGTCCTCCGGTGCAATGAGTTTCTCTTGTCAGATGAAAATTAAATGAGCGCCTGGCGCGCCGCGTCGGCGTCGGCGCTGGTGGAGAAAAAAAGGCGGCCGTGTGTAGGGTGCTGGCCAGACCGTACCCTTCGAGCCGCCGTGCGGGATTCAAAAAAGGGTTGTGCTCGCGAGCGGCGCATGCCCCCCCAAATTGTTGTTTGTCTGTGAGGCTATTTGGGGACCATTATGTTTGCGTGAAACCGCGCAGCTCGAGGCGCCCTTTTATTGATCGATGACTAAAGCGTGAATTCGCACATAGTTGCCTCACGAGAGGTGCTGTGGCCGCCTCTCGTTCGACTTCAATATGTTTTAGGTCTCGGCTCTTGATTAAACGAAACACACGGCACCCCCCCCCCGCCCCGCCGCCCCCACCTTCATTAACCTTTCCGATAAGATTCTCTCTTCCGCAACGATGGAATTTCCCCATTCTTCCATTTCGCAAATTTCCCAGTGTCCCGTTCTTCCTCCTCGCTTCACTTCGCACCTGCCTGCGGCACGGCAGTGCGAGTCGCAGACTGAGCTCAATGGAAGGCTCTTCCTGGAAAATCGTGCACAGTATCTTCGTCCGCGCGTAATTGGAAAGTATTTCCATTCCAATTAAATAACCTTTATTCGTTACGTACATTCATTCCGCCGATTTTATTTCGTAAGATAATTATTTTAATAGCACTACGACCTGCTCTTGTCTCCCACTTCACGAGAGAGTCCTTGCCTTGAACATCTGGCAGCTCGCCAGCATTGATTCAAGCACGCTTGACTGCTGATGAGACACTGCATGTCAAAAGCGGTCCAGAGTTTGCTCGGAACTGATCCAATGCTGTTGGAATTATGCACGACCAGAGGGCCATAGGGCCGATGGGTTATGCATATCTTTTTTTTTTACGTGGATTAGAGGTGTTGTCGCGTTGACTGTTAGGAAAAGTAAGTGGCCTTGGGCGGGACGCGTCGCTCGAAGTAATGATGGCCGGTGGTCGAGACTAACGGCGCAGTGGGTGCCAAATAACGTCCACCACGGAGATGGATCAATGAAAAATCCGCTCAAATGAAGCATTGAGATGGATTGTCGCGTCGCATGGCCGTGACGGACGGCGACGGCTTGGGGGGGAGGACTTCATCCAGCGGTGGATAGTTCATCGCTGCTGATGATGATGATTGACGACGATGAGGATTTCTATGATTAGCTCTCCCTAGCGCATTTGGGCGAGGAACTAGAATTCTGTAACCGCGAATTCCCACACACGAAGCTGTCGGGCCAGGGCACGTCACGCCAAACAAAATCACCACCCACTCCGATAATCGAGCGTGGCCAAGCGTCCCGAAGGGGCCTTTGCGAATGTGTCACGACCCCATATTTCACGACACAAGACCCCGCAAGCTGAGGTCTCGAGGCAACCACGGGAGACTCTATCAAGAGCAAGACCAAGAAGCAAGGAATAAATGTTTGGAGAGACTGCGAACGTGTCGGAAAACAAGACAGCGTTACTATAACGCATAAGCAGATGAACATTTCTATAAACATTTTTTATTTATAATCTGTTTAACGAATGATTAGCTCGGGAGATGAAATTGTAAACAGTAAAATGGCAACACTATTCATCAATAACACTGCCCTAAAGGGGAAACAATTAGTTAACCGGCGACGTTTTGGGCAATGACTCTTAACTTCACAGCACTGGCAGATGAAAACTCATCCAGAACAGGCCATACACAACGTTTCACGACGCAATGCTCAGATCCACAAATGCGAAGGAGACATCATCACTGCGATGACGCACTCCGCTGGCTCCTGACGCAGTTATCTGGGCTTGACCCCCTGAATGCGAAATTGTGGCCGTTGCTCTGCATCTACATCAGCAGTATGAACGAAGCAGAAGAAGAAGAGGAAGAAGAAGAGGAAGAAGAAGAGGAAGAAGCAGAGGAATAAGAAGAAGAAGAGGAAGCAGAAGAGGAAGAAGAATAAGAGAAGAAGAGGAAGAAGAAGAGGAAGAAGAAGAAGAGGAAGAAGAAGAAGAGGAAGAAGAAGAGGAAGAAGAAGAGGAAGAAGAAGAGGAAGAAGAGGAAGAATAAGAGGAATAAGAAGAAGAGGAAGAAGAGGAAGAAGAATAAGAAGAAGAGGAAGAAGAAGAGGAAGCAGAAGAGGAATCAGAAGAGGAAGAAGAAGAAGAAGCCCAATGCAGTGTTGCTGCTCAAGACAGTGGTTGTTGAGATCCATTGGTTCACAGGTAGTCGAGGTACATCTGAAAAGTTGGGCCAATT